ATACACAGTACTCTAAAGAATGGCTACATCTGCTAGTCTGCTGCAGCATGCATACAAAAGGGGTAATTAAAATTCTGGTTATATATTAGAAAGTTGGTCAACAGTTTCAAGCACCATATAAAACTTGATAGCCAACAGTATAAACTTGATATCAAGTAGTTTGTAGGGAAAAGATTATACTGACTGATCTCTCTCATGCACAAGAGTTTCCATTAGCGTGGGGAAGTCCTTGCTCATTTCTTGAATCACAAGTGTAAGCATGTCAACATCATCCATTTCCTTCAGCTAAAGACAACCACATCATTGTCAACCAAATTTTAGAAAATAAAATAAATGAGTGTTTCTTAGGGCCTATACCTACAAAGAATTGAATTTGTGCATTAAATGAAAACTAGTGGGCTCACCATTTTGTTAAGATCCTCTGGACTGGGCAAGAAGACTGCTTGAAAAAGTAATGAATATAATAATTTTGTCTTATGCCAGAGTGGCATCTTTGCCCATGTTCTCCGTAATGTAATCTGTTTCAACCAAAATCAATTCATAACTGAAATGCTCTTTGTATCAATCCCCAGCATAGGCTAGGTGATGCAGAAGAAATAAGTAAAATAGCCGCCTGCATGAAGCCCCATGTGATTTAAATCTTACAATCAGCTATCATAAATCCTGTACTGCTTGCTTTATCGAGAAGAAAGCAAAAGGCGAGTAACTGTTGGAAATCTTAAGTTGCACATACAGACATCTAGTTGGTGCTTTACAGCCAATGGTCAAATGGAGCAACCCTAGTATATGGTCAAAGGGGCAGATTGACGGCTGAATACATCAAATGATGGATGATCAAATGAATCATGATGAGGGAAACAGAGAAGTTCAAATTTCACCATTAGAAAAATATGTCACCTGTACTGGACGATCACCAAGTATCACCTTGCCACCATACTTCATGGCTTCTTCAAATGCCACACGAAACTCAGAACCAGGAAACACTTCAAGCCTGCTAGCAACCTAGCACAAAATTGGGCAACAAATTAAGAGAAATAGATTTATACAATAATAAAAAAAAACCCTAAAGAAATTAAAGCTTTAAAATAAAGAAACATGCCTTGGCAAGAAACCAGCTGTAAAGTATTCCAAACATATTATGATTCTTCTTCCACATGTCTATCATTTCTCCCACCGTTGGTACCTGGTGAACCA